TTTCCTTAAAAATTCAAACTAATAATCAAATTTAAGTAACGGATTCGTGTTCAACAGGTAAAAATACATTGGAAATGACTATTCACGTTCATGATATAGAAAAAGTTCAAATTTTATTCCTTAGTATAGTCAATTGTAAAAAGTTAATTGTCATTATAAAAATCAATTATGTTTGTGGCATTCACAATATCTGCCACGGTCGCATTAAAAAGTAAGAATAAAAAAAAATATATGCACATTTAAACATATAGACATATCTTATATATACTTTAATATAATTTTATGTAGAATTATATATACTTATTTATAAATATATAATTATATATAAATATATACTTATATATAAATATATAATTATATACAATTATACAAAATTGTATATATCTTCTATATTTTTATATAATTTTATATAACACGTTTTTGCTCAAGTATGTATACAATAATCAATAATAATTTTATTAGTACAATGGTGAAATATTCTAATTTCTTGCAGATCATAAACTTAGGAAAGCAACAACTTCTCAATCTCCTCTACTTGCTCCTTGGGTTTATCATCCTTTGTCATTGTTAATTATTAACATTCCTTATAATCTGATTATCATTTTTCCATCAATCATTTCGTTCTCCTATGTGAAATTATGTTACATAAGATATAATTTGTGAGCAGTAGACTTCAAAAATGCATTTTATCCATAATTTTATCTTTTGAATTAGACGTGGCATAGCGTTCAATGTTGAAAGATTTATATTTTAAGTTATTCTACGAAAGTCCTGAAAGTTTCTTTTTCACCATCAATTTACGAGCTGGAAAAAATTTAAATATTCGAAGTGTACTCTGTCGTTTAACCAGAGACAAACAGAATGCATTTGTTTAACATTAGAAATAGTTTAGCAATTTTGTTTAAAATTTGGTATCTTACTGATTGGCAAATTATTTTTTATAAGATGCGTGATTTTTTTGTCGCTTTCTTTCTCTGTTCTTAAAAATTATAAATTTTGAACAAAATACATTTTGGAAGTCTGCTCCTCATTCAAAAATTAATAATAATGATGTAATAACATTTAAGTGGAACTTGAGCAATTAATTTATCATTAATTTGACGCAGCCTACATTGCTACAATCATGTCTATTATATTTGAGGTTAAATTTCGGCTCTGAATTAAATTCCAGCATCAATATGAACATACAATAAAACGTCCTAGGTTTTTTCGCATCATAATCTCTAGCATACTCTAAAATGCTCCATAGCATTTACTCACTCTAACGCAGTCGTGGAAGTGAGTAGGAGCATATTAAAATATGCTGAAGCATACGACGTAAACAAACCTGTTGTCTTTTTAGAGTGAGTTCAGATTTCGTATCGAATATCGAACCGCGAACTGATCCTGCGTCCACATTTAAAAATTCTATATCTACATTAATAAAATGAATATAAATTGCTTTCCATGTACACACCAATGAAGTCTGAGTGAGCTGAGTATTTTTTATACTCAGATTAACGTCATTATTTATCTACTTTGGTATAAAGTTATCACATAACAACAGAGATTCATAACCTTATTTCTAAAGTGAGTTCAAAACTGACTAAAGCACACGGTCTCGAGCTTGTTCAGATTACAGGCAAAAACTCAGTTAAATCTCACTTGTCAGAATGCAAAAGGAATATGCATTCAACTGAGTTATGATGCCACAAGTGAGAATTATCTGAGAATTGGTGTAAATGGAAAGCAACTATAGATTCATAACATATCATTAAATGTGGGAGCAGTCTTTAACATCGATTATCCCGCTAATGTCATAAAATCACAATATGTTCGATATTATCTGAACACATTTGATACCTCTTGTACTTCTAATCTTATTATTAATCTTATTATTATATATTAAACGGTGTGGTTTTATTTCAGTCGTTTAATTTCCTCTTCCAACTTGCCAATCTGTAAAAACAATATGTATTTATGAAATTACGTTTGTATTTTCAGCCCTAATAATATTCATAACATTTAAAATATTAACGAAGTTACTTTTATGTTGTGCCCCATCAATATACGATCGTTCAAGTTCTTAAACTTCTCATCAAATAAAAAGTTGATATATATTTGCAGCTCCAACATCGCAATTATTTCGTTTTTCGACTTTAGCTGCAGTTCTAACAATTGCATTTTTTTGTTCAATAAGTAAGTACTTTCATCATTATGAGATATTTTGCTCTCGTCGGAGGATTCATTGAAGGACTCGTTTGTAGATTCCGACGAAGAATTTTGCGATGAACGATTTTCATTTATTCTCTCGAGAGCTTCGATCTTCTTTTGTAGCGCGTTACTATGAGTATAAAGCGATTTAATTTGTTTGTGAATCGTTAAAGTCTTCGTAGTCATTTCTTCCACAATTTCCATGGGCTTTTGCATTATTTCTTCATCGATTTCCATTTTGATATTTTTATTATTCTCGGTATAAGTTTCGATGTTCAATATTTTCCAACTTAAGTGTTCCTCAATTATATTTCATAAATACGTTTTATATCACTATTAATCTCGGTATAATTTTCGATGTCTCTGTTCTTCTGATTCAACTAAGCTTTCGAAGGAACACTACATGTAACGCTCCGCACGTTTAAGCTTTAGTATACAAACTACGAATGGTACCGTGGTGACTTTGGCCCTGTTTACCGATATGTGCTGCCAATCCGTTGCTAATACACTGAAAATTTATAATATACCGACATACGTAACATATAGATTTTCAGTACTGACAGGATACAGTGTCGTTTAAAAATATTAGATACCCTATTATTAAAAATTTTAGCTTAAAATTGATTTTTAAAATTTTCTGTGATTTATCCTATGTTTCAAGAATCTTTTAAACGTATAATGCTACTAGTCAGTAGGTAACAATGCTAATAATAGAATTTCAGATAAATGAAGAAAATATGTACAATATGTCTAATATTATTGGCAGGGATAGACGTCAGAATACGACCTTTATATATCTATGCATAAACAAACGTCGGCATTCGGCAACTCGTTATGCAGTTGTTATGAGTTTATAATGACAGTTGATTTTCAACTATATAAAATATCTGCGCTGTCGTTATGAGCGCATAACGATTGCATAACGAGTTACAGATTGCAGGGGCTGATGCGTTACAAATAACAATTTAACGTGTATTAGCGCCGTTACAAAGTACTTAACACATTTTAAAATATATTTTAAAATGTGTGTATTTTATGTGTTTCAAATTAATAAAAATCTTAATTTTATAGTACACATGTATTACGACAGAATTATCCGATTCGCGTATCGTTTCACGTAGACGATCCCGATGATGGGAAAGTTACAATTCAGTCGGCGAGAGGTACGAGTATTTCAATCTGTTTGTCAGGCCCGATTACACCAACGATACTTCGACTTTAATTAAAGTCTTTTAAATCTCTCACTTTTTTTTAAAGTTGAGAAAGAGAGAGAGAGAGAGAGAGAGAGAGAGAGAGAGAGAGACTTTTAACCTTGCTTAAAATCACAGTAATGTTAGCGCAATCGGGCTTTAGCTCTTAACCGGGCGCGTCGCGGCACTGAGTGCCGCAAAGTTTGTTTTTCTGAAAATTTATTGATAATTCTATAAAAGTGTTTTCTTGTAATATTATAGTTATATTTTAATATCATATTTTATTATAAATATATTTTATTTGCTTTTATGATGATTATCCACGATTATCTATCCAATAACTATAAATATCCTAAATAATAAAGATACGAAAGATGATACATAAATCACATTTTTTTACCGAATGTTATTTGTTTACTCGAATTTTTAATCATAAAAGAATAGTTAGTCATATAAAGCTGATGATAAGGATTATGTTAAAGTATCTGCCATAATCGTATTTTGAGAAGTGAAAAATATGAGAACACCATAATTAATTGAATTTGAAATTATAAACATATAATATATATAAAATAACAAATATCATGTGTACAATTAGAAATTACAGTGTGAACATGGCAATTAAAATTAAATTTTTATAATTACTGACATATTTTGACCATGTAATATTTTTATATACAGGGTGTCCCGAATTTAAATAGAATAAATTTCGCATGCGTGTAAAGGATCGAGAAATTGAAAAAAAAGTCCTTTAGAGATATGCCCATTTTTTGTTTTTTTTTTTTTTAAAGAAAATCGCAAAACAAAGTTGAAACGTAAGTTTTGGAATATATTATTGCTTTCAAAGCGAAATATTATTTTTGTGTACGACTTGAGCGATATCTAATGCTTGCAGAGGTAGTGCGAGAGTATGTGTGCCGATTTCCAGATAGAAGCATGTCAGATCGTCGAATTATTAGTTACGTTAACAAGATCAATGTTTGCCATTTAATTCGAGACACCTTGTGGGTGTGTAGGTGTGTGTGTGCGTGCGCACGTACACACACACACACATACACATACATACATATACACATACAGAATTTCCCGAAATTGGCGAATTGAAATATCAAAGCAAGAAAGTTTTCAAAAAAGTTATTAAATAAATTATTGGAAATATTTATTTTAAATATCACTTTTTTAAATATAAGGATTTAAATATAATCAATTACAGATTATGTTTAGATGATCACTTGTGAGTGTGTTAAAGTGAGCGCTTACATACTAATTAACACATGCCACGCGTGACTCATGGAATATCATTCAAATGTAATCTGTAATTGGCCGTTTTTAGATCTTTATATCTGAAAAATTACTATTTGAAGTAAACATTTACAAATAACTTTTTTACTTTTCGAGGAATCTTTCTAATAGTTTGATCCACGAATTTCGGGAACTCTGTCCTATATGCTGATTAAGTTATACTTCAATATATTACAAAAGTTATATTATATTAAAAAATATGTAAAATTAGCAAAAATGTATTATTAATGTATTATTATCGCAGATGATAATAATATTTTTTTTTTTTTTGCTAATTTAGATGAATCGCTGGACAAAATAAACAATGGAGCTCGCAGTATTCTGTGTTACAAAAATATAAAACTATTATTTAAGAATATGTAAAACTGTTATCATTAAAACCGATAATAATTCAATCATTATATAGCATGTTCCCGTAGATCATAAATTTAAGGAAAGTAGCAACTTATTTCTAATTTCCTGTATCTCTTCCTTGATTTCCTTTTTAGGTGAAATCGAATTGCATTCCTCAAGATCTGATTCTCCTTCTTCAATTTCATGAATCATCTCGTCCTATAACAAAAATTATATTATTACAATAAGACATATAATTTATAAATCATTAATAATGATGTAATTATATTAAAGTGAAACTTGAGTAATATAACGATATCGAATGGGGATTCAATAAAACAAAATTAGTTTAACATCTACATATTTTTTTCTTTTTACATATTTTTAAATCATTGATTGCTTATGCACCAAAAAACTGTTTTATACTGATATTCATACTCCATATTTATATTACACGATTACATTATTACGTCTTAAATAATGTACATATCTTATGGGTTTTCGGGGAGGGGGTAAATATTATATTTAGAGGAGTCATCTCCGATGACTTTGATCTTAACACGTTGTCAATGTCATAATTCTGAGTAATTATCGATAGATTACAGCAGTAGCTCGTTATTTGTTAAAAAGTTATTATAAAGACAACTTTTATAAATAAAACGTAATTTTTTAACACAAAATATATATTTTACTATACATATTCGTATATATGCTCTACATATATTCTACTATGTAATTTACATAATTGTTCTTCTTTTATGCCAAACTAGAATTTTATGCCAACAGACATTTTCCATCTCCCACCTCTGTTTAAGGATGTTTGGTTTTAAATGCGAAACGAAATCTACTTCACTCTCCCCTGCATAAAAGTTATATGATATTTCGAAGCGAGGTTCACTAAGTTTCTCGAAATTATGGCCATTTTCTATCCTTATATCACTTAATGAGATTATTGAATAAGATATAATAAATAAATTTACAATAACAATTTATGTTTCGACATGAAACTCAACGTTAGGAAACTGAGATATAATGAAGACAATTTCTGTAAATATCTACATTGAATAGCACTTTCGTAAGTGGAATAACTATCGTTCACTAAATTTTGGCTTGATTGGCGATCAAGTAATTTTCGTTTGAACAAATTTGTCGAATGCAATCAATATACATTGCTAATTTTAATTAGATAAATTGATGCTAGTTAAGTATAGGGGATAAAGTTGGATCACAAAAATATTTCAAAAAATAAAAATGTATACGGACATGTCAATGCTTGCAAAAAAAAGATACGAAGAATACTGTACTGAACGCATTGGTTTGCGCTCGGTCATCACTGGTCAAATATATGCGCTTTTTTATATACTTAAAGTAAAATTATTAAGTGATTGTCTTGTTTACGTAATATTTGAAGAAATTTATAAAAATTAGATATTTTTTTTATTAAGTCATTAGAGCGTTCTTTAATTTTAATGTTTAAGTTACTATTTAATTTACTCTCTTTTAAATATAAAAACTGTTTTCAACAGTGATGATATAGAACTGATTGGGCCAAATGTCCTAAGAAAAATACTTTAAGCAATTAATTTTTATTTATTTACATATTAAGAAGTAAAGATGTATTTTACGTTTAATTT